CCTCCTCATATGGCACTGGCTATTGTCTCCCTAGCCACCCGTCCTCATAAGACACTGGCTGTTGTCTCCCTAGCCACCCGTCCTCATTTGACACTGGCCTTTGTCTCCCTAGGCACCCGTCCTCATATGACCCTGGCTGTTGTCTCCCGAGGCACCCGTCCTTATATGACACTGGCTGTTGTCTCCCTAGGCACCCGTCCTCATTTGACACTGGCTGTTGTCTCTCTAGGCACCCATCCTCATATGACACTGGCTGCTGTCTCCCTAGGTACCCGTCCTCATATGACCCAGGCTGTTGTCTCCCTAGGCATATGACACTGGCTGTTGTCTCTCTAGGCACCCATCCTCATATGACACTGGCTGTTGTCTCCCTAGCCACCCCTCCTCATATTACACTGGCTGTTGTCTCCCTAGCCATCCCTCCTCATATGACCCAGGCTGTTGTCTTCCTAGCCACCCGTCCTCATATGACACTGGCTGTGGTCTGCCAGGCACCCGTCCTCATTTGACACTGGCTGTTGTCTCTCTAGGCACCCATCCTCATATGACACTGGCGGCTGTCTCCCTAGGTACCCGTCCTCATACAACCCTGGCCGTTGTCTCCCTATGCACCCGTTCTCATATGACCCAGGCTGGGTCTCCCTAGGCACCCGTCCTCATATGGCACTGGCTGTTGTCTCCCTAGCCATCCCTCCTCATATGACCCAGGCTGTTGTCTTCCTAGCCACCCGTCCTCATATGACACTGACTGTTGTCTCCCTAGCCACCCCTCCTCATATTACACTGGCTGTTGTCTCCCTAGGCACCCGTCCTCATATGACACTGGCTGTTGTCTGCCTGGCACCCGTCCTCATTTGACACTGGCTGTTGTCTCCCTAGGTACCCGTCCTCATATAACCCTGGCCGTTGTCTCCCTATGCACCCGTTCTCATATGCCCCAGGCTGTGTCTCCCTAGGCACCCGTCCTCATATGGCACTGGCTGTTGTCTCCCTAGCCACCCGTCCTCATATGGCACTGGCTGTTGTCTCCCTGGCACCCGTCCTCATATGGCACTGGCTGTTGACTCCCTAAGGCACCCGTCCTCAAATGACACCGACTGTTGTCTCCCTCGGTACCCGTTCTCATATGACACTGGCTGTTGCGAGGACGTTAAACCCCGAACAATTAGCCTGTTGTCAGAGTAATGTGGCCGGGTGGAGTGCTTTGCTACCAGGTCCAGATCGTGACATTTCATTGCGATAAAACTTCAAAGTGACCATTGACTGACCCTAGCATCTTTAAAGATCTTTATCATATGACCTTACTAGCTGTTACAATTATGCAAAACCATGAATAAAAAATTCCTACAACTTTCCGAACGAATTTCTTTCGGAACTCCCCCATGATCCTTGATCCTGTCATCCATTTGTGTGGCATCAGACGTCACGTGCCGTCACGTGAAAATAGGCGGAGCAAGCTGACAAAACTTATCAATCTCCATTTTTTTCGCTTCAAACAAATCATGCATTTATTGCTGCAAAAACTTCAAACTAATCATGTCTCTCGATAACAGTGATCAGCTTGGCAGGCCGGAATTTCGCTAATGAGCGGACCAGCTTTGTTTTGCCTTTAAGTTTCTCCTGACCGAGTTGCTATGCGATAGATTTTAGAGATTTGGATACAAATCCAAACCGTAATTTTCTTGGTTCTAAATTAATAGCTGCCTCTGAGGGAAATTATACGTAATCAGTATCGTAACTTCATTATCTCGCGAGAACGTGACTTTACGTGAATCACGCAGATTCGCGTACACGCCTTTTCGAGAAAATCATTGGTTTAGTTTTTTTCTTGTCAGGCTGGCATATTACTCCAGGAAAGAACCGCAATTCCTACAATAAATCCTATTATCAACACAGAAAGTTAGAATTACCACGTAAGCTAAAAGATAATACATTGATATTATACATTTATGTCATAACATTCTCCGTACTGGATTTATCATTTTGCATCACGCAAACAAACATTCGGAGTACCTCGTTTGTGTACATACAGTAAAGGGGATTTAGACATATAAGCATGAAATGCGTTCAATACAGCTAGGGTCGTTAAATGCTATTTAAGGTGACTTAAAGGAAGAAAATTGTAAAATAGTTAACAAAACAATTTGTGCAACCCTAACGACTGAATTTTACCCCAGGGATGATATCATGCCTTGAGCAATTTAAGTCTAGAAATTCCATTTCCTTCATCTGACGCCAAAAATGTTCTTGGGAGTTTTATTGAAACATAACTGTTCTAAAAATATTAAGCTTAAGGTATAAACCGACTTTATAGTAATGGCAGGGGATTGTACTAAGTACGCTAGTGCTCCGAGTATAATTTGTTTTATGTCAGCGGAATATATGTTTGCGCTCTTAAGTGTATTTTGTTTTTCTACTTTTTGTGTTCCCAATCCAACTCTTAATACAATTTACTCTTTAAATTGGGTTCCACGTCTTTCGGCCTCATTTGTGGCAGCAAGGATCGGAATTGCAATTAAATTGAGATTGAACTTGCTTTCCAAATGATATCGCGATATATACTTTATGATACTCGAGTTTTTCCCACATTCAATGAAAAAAATAATGGTTCTTCTATACAAAGATTTAATGGAAAGATGGAGTTCATGGATAGATTTATGCCGATTCCGAATTTTGTATCAACATACTCTTGACAAAATGTTGCTGATATGACCTGGTCGAATGCAATGACAATATTATTTTATGATTGATTCAGGTTAAAATACTTTTCTTTTAAAATGGTTGGCGACATATCGACAGTAATCCCTCGTTATACTGTCACCATAATTTTCCAGTAAAATGTTCACGTTATCCTGTGATTCGGTATTATATTGCGGGACACATTCTAAGCTGGTGGTATTGGTCAGAATTGTATGGAATATTAATTGGTTTTAAATATGCGACATGATAGTTTAAAAGTCTGTCAAGTATAATGTTTTGACCTGTATTTGCCTTTTTTAATATTTTATCATTTCTGTTTACCTAGGCCACTACCGGTTCTATAATTCAAAACTGCGTTCTTTTATTAAACGAAGAAGGGGATTTTTTAATTCGTTGGCAGTAAGCGAGGTTGCCATTAAGCGAGGGACAGTATATCGATAGCTCACAGTCAGTTTTATTATATAGAAACATACACAATTTTAAGTTTATCTGACACTCTTTTCAAAATAGAAAAAAATGTATGATAAACATCCGGTTGTAACTGTAAACATTAATATTTCAGACAACCTTGTATACACCTCAATAAAGTCACGCTTGACTTCACACACCGACGACGCCTTCATCCAAACTGTCACTTAACACCGCGTGGTATTCATTTTGATAAACACCTATTAGTTCTAGTTGAAAAAGAAAAAAAAAGTATTAACGTTTTATCTTGTTTACCCAAATAACATTTCTTTAAAATAGGGATGTTTTCAAGATGTTTATCAAATTAAATTAACATTTTTATTATTTGGATATTTACATAAAATCAGATTCCTGATTATGATAAGAAAAAACCAGATTCATCACATTTATATAACAATGTGAGTTTTTTTTGTGTATTTAATCATTAGAGTACATTAAGTATGATAAAAGTTAGCATGAGAAATAAAGGAGACCAGTTTTGACTTGTCCATCCAGCTATTAATTCTAAATACACGACACAAAAAGAGATCACCCAACCGAAAAATACCTTTACTGAAATGGTATATAAACCCTTAATACAGAACATAAAAGACTCTTCAAACTTTTAAAAGGTTTAAAACACAATCTGAAATATCAGACAATTCTATACGAGTTTAAGTCCCTCTTTACATATATAAAAAAAACTTAAAGAAAAATAAAACCATTTAAAGGAATATTAATGTTAACACAGCCCTCTATTGCGAAAGATAAAACCATGGGCATCTTATAACATATGAGGTAAACGGTATCAGGAGGTGAAACTGTTTTACTGTCGTTGTAAATATTATGTAATATTTGTTTAAATTCTTTTGGAAAGACGAATTTTCTGAAAATCACATGCTGTGATGTATTTAATAGTTGTTCAGAACTTGAATGTTTGCAACATAAATAATAAACAAAATACAACAGAAAACTACCGGGGTCGAACTCATGTCCTTTCTTTGCTAATCCTTCAGTCTGCCACTGCTGTCATCCAATAGATACAAACACTAGTCTCAACGCCTACGAGAAAAACATATATAGGTAGGAGGATACAAAAGACATTCTTGACCTTAAGGTTAAACATTGTATGCCCAAGTTTATTAACAAAAAAGTCGTTCATTGCACTTCCTGTTTGAGCAATTGTTTGTTAGTCTATTTCGGGTTTTACCTCCTCACAACAGCTAAGATCCTAAGACAGCGTCTACAGATACTGGGCCACTGCTAGGGCCCCTTAAACGGTCACTGAAACGTCATAACCTGTACCTACCAGCATGACGCTCCATTCTGTCAAATTATACTGACAACAAGAAGTGTTTGTCAAACACACCAAATATCTATATATACCTGTACACGATTTGTATAATCTAAATATGTGATTCATACGAATGTATGATTCTGTTTATCCCTGGTAGTCGGTTTAAGACGCTGTTGCCGGTTAAAACTAGTATACACATTGTTGGCGTGGTTATATTGTTTCATGTGTGACGTCAGTATATGAAATTGAGTATATCGACAATGTACGAGATGGTTTCTGGATGGGTTTAAGAGGAAAATAATCCACTTAAGCTATATTGCAAAATAACAAAAAATGAACCAAGAAGCGAATTGCGTTTTATTATATAACCCAAATTTTATACATATTCGTAATAAACGTCATCCTTATCAAGGAATGTGGATTTAAAAGTACACATATACTCTAGGCCGAAGTGTTCTTTTAGTTTTTGCACTTAAAAAAATCCATAAACAATTCAAATGTGAAATTTTGTGAGAAATGTCCGCAATAATTGTCACGGTGATTTTATCTATTGCAGATGAAATGCCTCCCGGATCACAGCCACGTGATGTGACAACCCCTGTGAAAAAACGAGGACAGACGGTCTGACAACCATAGCTTAGTGATAAACAGAGTTGTCTCCCTTCTTGGACAGGTACGTGAAAACACATAGGACATGTATATTAAAAGGTTACAGATATCTTTCTTTAGCATTTCGTTTCCATTTTAATTAGTTAACATAACGGAATAAACCAGGAATATTGTTGTAAAATCGAGCTCAATGGACCCAACTCTTCTAATAAAAATAGTATGATAAATTTTACCGGAACTTGATTAAATCCAGATGTTTCTTTAATCAAAAAGTGTTCACATAGAAAGATAAAAGACGGAATTGGAATGGATGTTATATAATAATAATTTTTGACCAATGGGCGTCTGGCCAGAAGGTCAGTTTTAGTAACAGTGAAAACGAAACAGTATCATATTCTGCTCTAACCCACCAATTCAGGCTAGAGTAAAAAAAAACTACAAGAGGCTCGAAGTTATTTATCTGTGTATTTATTAAATGAAATAACAAGAAAATAAAAAAGAGTCAACAAAACCGTTATTCGACCTCAGAATTGAGATAACTAGGAATCGAGATAACTAGGAATCGAGATAACTAGGAATCGAAATAACGAAGGCAAAATATGAACAAATGAAAGACTCACATTAAGACCCTTCAAAAATCACAAGGAATATGAGACCAGGTGTTTCGGAAGGGTAAGCGTCATATGCATCATCGACGACAGCCGTCATGTAAATCTAGGTCAAATTAAAGAAATTTCACGTCCTTAAAGGGACAATCGGGGAAGATACAATCCAAAAAGTAAAGCACATATCGACCATTATAGTGCAGAAGAAAACAGGATATTTTTAACTCAGAACAAGATGTCGACAATCTTGCCCATAATCTTCATCAACTTGAATCTCTTTAAATTTTATGGCAATTTTGTCCATCAGCAGTCGATATATATCGCGACTATCTTGATATACGGAGCAAGCTTTTAAATACCGAATCAGCTGCGGCATGTTAATACCAAAGGTCAGGGAAGCAGGAATTAAATATCAAGAAAGGGAAAATTCACGATAGGAAATCGTAATCGTCACGCTTAAATGTTCAACTTAGTACTTGTTAGCCGTATCTGTTGGTCAAGTTGTAGGGTAAGACTGAGGAAAGCGGCTGAAGTAAACGAGTCAAATACATACATATATAATATAGAACAAAATATCGGTCATCCGAAAAAAATATTATTACCAACAAAAATATCATAACTAGCGAGGTTACAAGGAACTAATATTAAACATAACTCTCTTGCTCAGGAGAAATGGAGTCTGTTATGTCCTCACCAAGTGCTCGTCCTAAATGTCTTGGTATGATACGCCAACGAATATAAACTTCCCTTTCCTATCAAGGGTCATCGTTGCCAAGACATCCACGGTCTTTCCAGTCTGTTTCCACGGCTCCTCTCCAAGGTTTATTTCGACCTTCATGTCTTCCTTTTAACAATAGGCATGACTGTTAAATCGCTATTTAAATGTCTTACTGGTCCTCAGTTCCTTGTATGACCCTGTCCAGTTCCATCTTCTCGTGTTTATGTTGAGCCCCACTATTACATTGCTTTCAATTTGCTGACTCTTATCACTTCTTTTTTTTTGCTACAGGAATGCATAACTCGAGCGTAGGAGAACTTGAACGATGCTTACCCATGGGAATTTTTTAGTTAAAGAATTTCCTAAAGGTAAGGAGCTAAGACAGGTTCTGAAAGAAACACATTGTCTTCTGTTTGGCTTCTTTTGTTCTAAACGCTTCTGCTCTATATAGATGTACTGAGTGGATGTTGGCGGTATTGCAGTTTCAGGTTGTGCTCTCTTGTAAGCTATTTTAACTTTTGAATACGTTTTTAAGCCTATTGGAGTAGCTATATTACTTTTTCCACCCCGAGTTTTACTTTCAAAATTGTCCCATCCTTGGATACACCGATTCCTAGTTATCACAGCTGGTAGATGTTCTCTTAATAAACTTGTACAATTGTGATAATTAACCTTTATTCGTTTATTTGACAAGTTGACCTTCAATCCTAACTTGGCTGTCGTGTTTTGCCAGTGGTTGGTTTTGGGTATCGCATCAGATTGAATGTCTTCTCTTTCATCTGAATTCTCCAATGTTGCTCTCTGTTCTCGTTCTTTTTTAATTCTGTTAGCCAACTAAGATGGTTAACCAAAGAAGTTCTATGATGATGCATCATTCTTAATAGGAAATCTGAATTTTTCGTACAGAACAATGGTAAGCATCACATTGTTCTTAGTTAGATGGCCAATATTCTGCAACAGATGAAAAAAAGCGTTTCCAAGGAAATCTTGTCGAAAACTTCATCTTCATCTCCTAAACAAGTAAATAATGTTTGGTACTTTCTTACAATGACGTCACTACCTTAAAAGTTTCATGTAATAAATAAAATTATGTAATTCTGGTTCTATGAGTGTTATATAGGGACAGGGGCGTTTATCGTTATTTTGAGAATTTTAAAAGAAAGTGGGTTCGCGTATCTTAGATTTATTCGTACAGTATTTTATAGTTTAGATAATTCTTTAACGAGCTTGATGCCAAGCGATTTATGTCCCTGCGGTTGCTAAAATAACTTCGAACAATAAAATATCTATTGAATTTATTTCATCTTCAATATAAAATATAGAATTTGTCACGTCAGAAATAATTCTATATAATATTGAACATGTTTGATAAATTCAATCAATGAAGGTGTGTATAGCATCAGTATACATACAGCTCCATGTTGTGTTAAGTAAAATATTCGCTGACTTCAATTTAACGCAAAGTAAATTTATCCAAAAATAATGTTACCGGAAGTGATCAATGTCACGTTCACCGAGACTTGAACCTGGATCTTCCTGGACTCAAGACGGACCCGATACCTGGTCACGTGCTACCACTCCATTTTGACGCCAATATTAAAATGAAATTGTATATATTAGACATTGTAAAGGGAAAGATATGTCAGACAACTAAGATTGATATATCTTTGTTTAAGGTCAGTTATACTAGAAACAAGCGCTTTTGTCAGGAAATCTGTTCTATAAATGTCTTTTCTTGTGTTAACATTATCCTACAAAACACAACCTATTTATTATATATAATCGGTAACTAGACAAAATTGACGCCAAACATATCCTGACCCCGAACAATTAAGTTCAAAATGGCGTCATCCTTTTTAACATCAAGTTTATTACAGAGGGTCTTTCGGATATTGTGTTTAATAGGCGTACGCCAATCCTTCCCCAGTAACAAGCGGTCAGATAATTGGTACGGCTACAAACGCGCCATTTTATTGGTTTTGAGGGATCAACTGTGAGACATCTGTTGGCATTCTACATCTCTGTCAGAGCATTGAAGCATACCTTCAACAAATCCGGTTAGATTGGAACGTGACCACGTGACTACATCCCAGGCCTAAACTAATCACAGGACCAAAGACCGAGATCCGGAAACAGTCTTTCGCGTTCGCTATTTGGTTAGATCGAATCTACACCTGTCACTTGGAATATATTTCTGAACTCAACTCGAAAGCAAAGATGAGACTCCAAGGGATTTTTTTTTGTATTCATTTTGTATTTCGTCCTACTCTAAAATGTGTAAACTGATATTCGGTGATTTATCGAAAAGAAAGATCATTTTGATTACAAAAGAGAAAAAGAGAAATTATGATTTGGAAAGATATTGTCATATTAGCTTGTCAAATCGCATCAGCACTGACAAATCAAAATCAGAGCGATGATGACAAGCGTGTAGTTGAATGTGATCGATTGTTGGAACAAACATGTCACATTGATAACACCCGGAAGATCTAAACACTCTGAAGACCCAACAATGTAGCACTTGGAAGCGAAGATGTCGTCGAGATTGTTCCGGCACTGTGTTTGTCAGATTGATAACCCAAGGCAATTTTTCAAATGCTTGCTGTTCTTGAACGCTCTAGAATAACTTCTCACCATTAGAGATTGTCTTTAAAGGTCGTTCCGACAAAACTGTCGTTAAAGATATATATACTTTTTTCAAAGTTTAATGAGCAGAATGCTAATTTGAATTTGACAAAATAAAACAAAAAACAATTCGACGGATTAGTACGTCATTGTGTGTGAACTTGATATGTACTTTTAGAATATGCAATTTAAATATAAGATATGTTATCAGATACTTTGAAGAAAAACATTTATTATTTAACATCATTTCCATCTGATGAAACAAATGCCAATAAATTTTTTTTAAAGATCTCTGATAATTGTTTCAAATTTGATGAAAATAAGACGTTCAGAAGGACTAGGCCAAAACGTGGTAAACGTTGGGTGTGTAGATACGGGCGGTACATCCTAATCTTAGGATCAGGGATCCTGTCCAGGTAAAAAGACCCTAAAACATTTTCTGAGACTCCGTTGTGTTTTGAACACTTTGCAACATGGTGTTTTGTAGATGTTTACCAATGTTAAATGAATAGGAACAAGTATAGCGTTTATCAATAAACAGTTTATAGGTGTTTTTTTCAATATAGTATAACTGATATTTATCCATAAATGTGTAAAAAGTGTTTATCAATAAAGTCTTAATAGTGTTTATCAATTAAGTATAAATAACATTTATCAATAAAGTATAAAAAGTTATTATCAATAAAGTGTTTATCATTTTTATCAATAAAGTCTTAATAGTGTTTTTCAATAAAGTGTAAATAGTGTAAATCAATGAAGTGTAATAGTCATTATCAGTAAAATGTTAATTGTATTTATCAATAAAGTGTAAATAAAGAGCAGCAAGTGTTTAATCAATAAAGAGAAGATAAAGTATGACAGATGATTATCAATAAAGTGTAAATAACATCTTAATTGGCGTATATCAATAAATTGTAAATAAAGAGTAACTTGTGTTTATCATTAAAATGTAAATAAATTGTCACTCGTGTTTATTATTTAAGTGTAAATAAAGGGTAACTAGTGTTTATAAAAAAAGTGTGAATAAATTGTAACTTGTGTTTATCAATAAATTGTAAATAAGGAGTAATTGGTGTTTATCATTAAAAATGTAAATAAATTGTAACTTGTGTTTATCAATAAATTGTAAATAAAGTGTAACTGGTGTTTACTATTTAAGTGTAAATAAAGTGTAACTAGTGTTTGTAAAAAAGTGTAAATAATATGTAACTAGTGTTTATCAATAAAGTGTAAATAAAGTGTAACTGGTGTCTATCAATAAAGTCTAAATAGTTTTATTGAAGATATTTATCAAATACAAAAAATATTGTTCACTTTTTAAAACAAAACATTTTTCTGATTTTTTCTCGGTATGGTACATTCTCCGAAGAGGGTGTGTGGTATGGAAATTTGATCATTTTTTTTGTCAAATCAAGTTTATTTAAATTTTATTTAAATTGGTTTTTGGCTTTTGAAGAAACAGAAATCCAATTAGCAGTAAGAACCATTACTCTCGGCTCTAGATAACGAAGATTTTAGAAATAAAAATTCACATCATGAATATAGATTGGAAATCTCATCAAAAGAAAAAATGCTCACAACCAAGTCTGTAAAGATTAAAGATGTAAATTCAGACAATTTTATATCAAACGAACGAAATAGTAAATGGTACTTGAATTCAATTAATTACTTATAAGTACAAATGTTCATAAAAAGGGCGACGCAATCAATGAAGATTTTAATTTATTTACAGTTAATTTCTCACGTTGGAATGTTTGAATCGTAAAATAAATTTCATATGTGGAAACGAGAAATGCAATTTGTTAAAAGTAAGACCATGTATTTCGAAACCATTTCAAACGTAGGAGGATTTTTTTAGATATCTAAGCCTGGTTTCTTAAAGTTTTTTAATGTAGTTTCCTCTGCATTGAGTTGAAATGTAATTTTAACATCGCCTAGTAAATTTACTCAATAACAAAAAACTCTCTTGAAAATCGCATCGTCAATTTGTCTCTCGCATATGTAGTCTGTATTGAGGGGGACGCTGTAAGCGGTGTAATCTAATCCGTTATACCTTCGTGTTGTAATTACACTTCCAATTTATGACGTAAAACATTAGATTTACAACAAACGTTTGAATGACTACAATGAAAGGGGCACGTCTCTATGGCACGTGGTAGTCTAGGGCACATGTATATTCAGTTAAGTAAGTAATTCTAAGCATAGGTGTAATCTATCTAACCAGCTTACCACATGCCTGCCATATTCGTAATTGTATATAGCCTTTGCCAATTACAAAGTTAAATTTAGAATCAAATAAAATCACTGAAATTTTGCCAACTTTCGGTGCACATGCAATTTTGCTCGCAAGAGAACAATTGAAAACTATGACCGGATGGGGCTGTTTTGGGAGAGGGACTGGGCTGGGGGGTTGTAGGGGACGGAAGCTAAATTGAGGGTAGAATATGAGGGCTTAAAGATACAATGATATGAGATGAATGTTTTAGAGAAGAAGGGGTCTGAATTCGAAATTTTGGAGAGCAATACTCCAGATAGCAATTACGACACTTTGTGAACCAATATAATGTCAATGAAATAATGTAAATCCAATTCACATTAGGAATATACCACAGCCCTAGTTAACCATTGAACCCCATGTTGTTACTATTTGACTCCCGGAGTATTTCTCGACACTGGACGCAACTTGTAACACTCGGAACACATTGTGACCACCATTAACACTCGGAACACATAGTGACCACCATTAACACTCGGAACACATTGTGACCCCCGTTAACACCCGGAACAAGTTGTGTTAACACTCGGAACACATTGTGACCACCATTAACACTCGGAACACATTGTGACCACCATTAACACTCGGAACACATTGTGACCCCCGTTAACACCCGGAACAAGTTGTGTTAACACTCGGAACACACCGTGACCACCATTAACACTCGGAACACTTCGCAACTCTAATAAACACTTGAAACATACAAATTAACATTCGAAACACATCGCGACCCTAATAAACATTTAGAAAGCATTGTGATCCCGACTGGCTCATGTTAACGCTAATTAATTGATCCATTGAAGTTGTTTGTTTATTAAGAAGCGGTCTGTCGCTGGCTGTGTTATAAGTTGTTGCGTTTCTGAACTTGTTCATTAGTCCTAAATAGACGACATTGTCGTGACACTGTTAACATTATTACTTTGTCTGTCTTTCCGCAACAGCAAACAAAATGTTCAAATACGAGCTTCCTCGCTTCGTATTTCCGGTGATATTTTGGAGTCAGAAGATGACCGACTGTTTAAGTTCCCGACGTTAGTCGTTACCTTTAAGTTAGAATTCATTCTAGCAAGGTTTACATGAAAACTTGTTTTCAAGAATAGATTATATTTTAAAGCCGAAGGTTGTGATTTCTTATGGTATACAAGTTTTTGGAGGCACATTTCCTCATTTTACTGTATGTCTAACATATGTTTTGGGATAGTTATATTCTTTTGTCCTTTAGTACTGCTGATTAGTCTGATAGGAACGATATAGTCATAGGATGCTGGAAAAGCTTACTTTGTGTGTCTATTCACCAATTACATGTAGGTGCTTTCTTACTTCTGGTAATAATTGGACAAATTGCTTACTCGTTTTCCCAATTTCTCTCAAAATGTTTAACATTGTCCAAGATATATATACATCCTTTATTTTATTGCAGATCAGATGATGGTCAGGTTCCGAAAGGGACGAACTAGTCTCCGGATAATGACCTATAAACCACTTGACAATCCGGATCATGACGTCACTTTTTGGAGCAGCTGAACTAGGACATCACAACACTGATCACTGGTGAGGGCTAACATCAGGATAAGCAAACAAAAGGAAAACAAGAAAACAACTTGAAATGTACAACATTTACAAAAAATGTCAACATTTACAATTCGAGTGGCAAGGACTAACGTCAGGATAACAAACCTCCAACAGTGCAGCGGTTACGGAAAATGGCACGATCTTAATATGAAATAAACAATTTGATGATTTATTTACGTTTACCTTATCAAAAGTTTTCAAGTTAAAACATCTGGTTGTATGTTAAATTGTTGATATGCAGTTCACCTCCGTGTGGGTAGGTGTGATATCCGAATATTCCATTTGTTGTGAATGATGTGTACCTTTCTCGGGCGAGTGCTAACGTCAGTATAAAACAAGTTTGTGATATCAATGTGCTCGCATTTTTGTCCTGATAAATATGGAACTCAGTAGAATGACCAAGGTGAAGGATCTTGTGCAAGCATTTGATAATCGTGACGTTACATTAAACGGCTCCATGTGAACGAAAAGGAAGTGACGTCATCATACAGTAGTTATCTCTGACAAATGGTCAATTTTGTTTGGCCGACATGTTGGATATCAACATTTTTTTGTGATACAAATAAATTACTTATACCGTCCTATTCACTCATGTTACATTATGGTATTATATCTATTTTTGACATGTTTATTTTAATTACATGTTGATTTCATACACAAATATTTATATCAATAAAAGACGATTGTTTTTTCTTAGTTTATCTTCCTTGCTCCTTTGTCATTTAATGTGAATCTTCTGCTACGAAATTTTCAAAATAACATTAGTACCTGTCAGTTAAGTGAAACAGACCTCGGGCGAGCAAAAAATGAATCTTCTTCTTCCACTGTACCTAGGACAGACTGTACTTGTGAAACGATATTCGACCATGAACAGTATTAGGTCAAAAAAAATCAATATGATCTTGATGTACCAAATTTGACACTGGAAAAAAAGTTGTTAAAACTGGCTAAAACCGAGGGAGAATAAACATATCTAAACATTGCAATGGGTACTACAGATACGTTTGGGTTTCTTCAATTTCCCTTTAACCGAGGACACACGAGAAAACAATCATTGATTGAGGAAGTCTCACTCATTAGTCGTCTTATACGATCATGCAGTGAAATATTGCAGGCCAGTACTTTCTCTCACACCCAACAGTGGACAATGGTAGCGAACATATACTGAGTATGTTATGTGTTTTTGTACACACGTCCTGTGTATGTCATGTGTGTGCACTTGTTTTGATTACGTAACTTCCGGTGCAATGAGGTCTGTTAGCTCTGACGTCTGTACAGTAAGGGCATTGCTATGCAGACGATCGCCCTTGAATAGATTAATAACAGTGTACCTAACAAATATTGAAATAGTGAAGTCAGCATAATTATTTATCAACAAAAAATATGAGGTAGAGTACATAAATGGTATAAACATGTTGAATTACAAAACGTATGTCGTTAATTTCTATTGAGGATACAGATCTGCAGAGTTAAACCAGCTAATAGACTGTGGTATGACCACACTTCTTAAAAATCTCTCAAAATACAAAAATGATGTATAAATCGCCAAGATACATACCTGACATATATAATTGCTTGGGTTTATGTACGTTTGAGCCTTACACAAGCCTCTATATAGAACAGACTAGTTATTTTTTCCAACTAAATAAAACTTCATTTTCAGTGAGTCAGATTTAGATTGAACGTTTGGTTAAAGTTATTGTTTTCGCAAAATAATAAAAACGAAATAGCCCTAGTCTGAACGTAGATGTCATAAATTAATCTTTTACTCTTTTAAATGTTCATTAGGTCAAACATGTATTTTTGTGAAAAAGATATAAGAAAAGTAACTTTCTTCAAATATGTTTTTTTTCATCCCATCCCCATTGGCATCTTACATGCCGCCATAAACACCTTATTTGTGGTTTGTGTTAGATTTATCTTCTCTTAGACTATGGTTTGTGTTATAGTTTTCTTCCCTTAGACTATGGTTTGTGTTAGAGTTATCTTCCCTTAGACTATGGTTTGTGTTAGAGTTTTCTTCCCTTAGACTTTGGTTTGTGTTAGAGTTATCTTCCCTTAGACGATGGTGTGTGTTAGAGTTATCTTCCCTTAGACGATGGTTTGTGTTAGAGTTATCTTCCCTTAGACGATGGTTTGTGTTAAAGTTTTCTTCCCTTAGACTATGGTTTGTGTTAGAGTTTTCTTCCCTTAATCTATGGTTTGTGTTAGAGTTTTCTCCCCTTAGACTATGGTTTGTGTTAGAGTTTTCTTCCCTTAGACTATGGTTGTGTTAGAGTTATCTTCCCTTAGACGATGGTTTGTGTTAGAGTTATCTTCCCTTAGACGATGGTTTGTGAATAAACAAAACAACTGTTCAACCCGAACTTAAATTTGTTTCCCTGTTTAATTCATAGTTTATCAACAGCTCCACTCGTCAAAAAACAACAGCCAACAATTATTTTTACGATCGGACATGCATAAGTTTATAAACTTAATGTACAAAATCTAAGGTTGACATTTGTAATAAATCAGTGTTTGGTCACTGATTAGATTTTCAAATCACAATTGTAGAAAAAAATCTTCAAAGAGGACTGATTGTCAAAATTTTAAAATTGAATTTTAGTGTACCTTTTTGAAGACAGTCCCGCCATTTTTCTTTTGTGCATGTATACAGGTCTTCAAAACTTATTTCGGGCCTGTGAGATTAGTTTAAAACTTGATCTCGGTTTGTTGTTTTTTTTCATTTCTTTGAGGTTTATCTTAATTCCTCTATATTCACACGAAGTCAATAACAGTTTGTGGGGATTTTTTGGAAGTTATATTCATTGAAGATATTCCTAGTGATCTTGCGGAAACGATTTAGGATAGCAACCGGAAGCGCCATTGATACACTCCTCGATTGATAATGAAATGTTCAAGACACATAAGCTTTGATATCGTTTTACTTACCACAACGATGTCCCAACTTTCAAAAACTTGAAAACGCGTTTGAAAAAACTGTAATTTACTTGAAAAGAAAGAAAATTAATCTTAATTAAAACTTACGAATTGCTTCTTATGCATTTCAACTTCATAAACAAAACAAAATGACAATTCGCGTTATACCTTAATTTATTATGGTTGTTGAAACATTCTGTTATATAAGTTTCCGAGGTTTAACTGACATTTTTTCACACGTGGTGTATGAAACCAATATCAGGGTAAGTTGTTTACTTTTAATGTGCTATCTAACAATTAATTTGTACAACAATGTACATTTGACAACACAAGTAAAGTAAAATCTAAAAACCTTTTAATGCATAGCGTTATATTTATTCCGTATCATTAATCCAAATCCTTTTTGATATTGCGTCGTAGAAAGTCAACAAAAGTATTTAAGAAAATGATTACAAAAAGAAAATCCAAATTTTGAATTTAAATTATTACGAGTTGGAAAAAAATAGTCATAAATTGTAATTGTGTATTGCAGCTAAGCTATATTGGATTTTTAAAATTTCTAATTTGTTTTATTGTAACGTCTCTGGGAATATAGAGCAGACATAATTCTGTTATTCCTTCTTTTCGTATTGCAGAGTTATCTGGTCTTGTGAGCAGGTATTGATTGCTACGTTATTTGTTTGTGAGAGTAACGTCATAATTTTTTGAGAATACGACGTAATTTTCCCACACAAACTAATGACGTAACAATCAATACCTGTTCACAAGAGCAGATAACTCTCCAATACGAAAAGACGAAATATGTCACAACACTAAATTGCTAAAGAGTGCATCTTTTTGTTGTCTTTTGAAGAATTTCGGTGCAGTAAATTAACAATGAATTGATGAGACCAGTAGAATAGTCGAAGATGTGTGAAAAAAACCGATTAAAAAACTTTAACAAGTACTGTCCCTCTTGTTATCTGACCGTAACCACGTCACAACATACATTCCGCTGACCTCTGCATCGTCACAATCTACCGCTTTTCACCCCATCCAATCCTCCCTACTCATAAAATAACCACATCACCATCACAACATACGTACAATGACTTTGAAATCATCATTACATACGTACACTGACCTTGACATCGTCGCATACAACTAACGTACACTGACCTTGATATCATCACAACATACGAACACTGACCTTGACATCGTCACAACAAACGAACACTGACCTTGATATCTTCATAACATGCGTATGTGTAAGCTGACCTTGAAATCGTTATAAAATACGAACACTGATCTTGATATCGTCAGAACAAACGTATACGTAAAATGACCTTTATATCGTTATAGCATACCTACGCTAACCTTGACATCATCACAACATATGTAGTCTGTGACCTTGGCAACGTTACAACATATTTATCAACATATGCTGTCCAGTCTTATGCTAGCTAATCTATTCACTGTCGTGGAGGAAGAAACACATGCAGAATTGACTGCTCTATCAAATGTCAGTAGCGTTTCCCTGTAGAAGGCTGTCTCGTTTTATCAGGAGAACAATCCTGTGCTTTACCGATAGACTTAGCCGTAATCTACGCAATTATTGACAAGTATGGATTTTCCTCTCTTTTACCGAGTTGTGTCATCGGCGCATCTCCCCACGCTCTCGTAAAGCGGGCGTTCGAGGAAATCTAATTACAACTTACTACTGCGCCGACTACAAACCGCTTGTGTCATTTGGTTTGTGAACCAAGAACCAGGGTTGTTTCTCCTCGCTGTCATAAATCAAGAGAACCATTGTGCATTTCGTGATTGTTACCTTAACTGATCTCCCCTGATTCGACGAATTATCCCCTGTCAAATCTGCCACATTCCGCCATCAATAAAACAATTGAAAACACATGAAACATGATCATACAACGAGTTTGTAATGTCTTAGGTAGCCGGTCAAACACAACTGCTCCTCCGTCTTATCCGGGTTTTAGCATGTCCCCTAAATTTGACTTCGGCTAGCAACTTTATCATGCGTACAAGATGTATTATTAAAGCTTTCGATTCTACAAATTAAAATAGCATTTAGGACAATTTCAACGCCAAAGACATTTTTTAAAGTTTCTCGAATCTTCCTTAAAAAAATAAAATAGTGAAAAATCCTTTATTTAAGAAATAGATGCGTCTAGCTTGTTCGCGGAATATCTAGATATATTTCTTCTAAAGTGAAAGGATTTCAAACTGATGTTCAATGCAAATAAAAACGTTTAAATGCAAATAGTATTGTAATGTATAGTGGATACTTGTCTGCTGTAATAACCCGTTCGGTTCTTCTGCCGTATTTTTGTGTTTTTTGTTTGTTTTTTTGGTGGGTGTTTTTGTTGAACATATGCTTTTTTATACAAATAAAGGTTAAAGTTTAACATTTCAATCAAATCACACATATCTTCTTTTTTGTGTGTGATACCATTGTAACATGAAAGTGAATCTTGATTCCTCTTTCTCAAACACCTTCATACAGTGTCAACGCTCATGCAACGTTTATTACGTGTTCAAACGAAGTAACGTACAAAAACGGTATATATCTCAAATACGTTTGATTTCACAATTATTATGCGTGTTTTTGTAGTCGAATATTTTTATTTCCATGAATGTCCATAGAAACGAACATTCAGGTCAGTGTGTTTAGTAATGTATTCCCGAATATATATAAACTGTGACCATTAACTAATTACCAACCCAGAGTTCTAATTAGAAGGAAAACTGTTTCGTCGTTAA